AGGTCCTGGCTCTCTGCGCTCATTAAAAATTCCAGGACATTTCTTGAAAAGAGTAGGGGGTGTTACCCCAGTATCCTAGCCAACCCCCCCACCCCCAGCCTTTACCAATTATAGCCTCCTAATAATCCCCATCTCTGAACTGGTTTCATCACTCTGCTCTCCTCCCCACTGAGAGCTGATGTGTTGTGAGCTAACTGGCGCACTATGGCTGCCGTCACATCACCAGGTGAAGACTACACATTGGGGAGTCCCCATTACCTGTAAAGTGCTTTGATTGGAGTTTCCAGGACAGCAATGTGTAAGTAATTATTATTAGTTCTACTGTTTTGGTGGGTTGAAATCTGGACCATTGGAGAATCTACAGAATAGTTCTGTAGTGAAATATCAGCTGCACAACCTGTCCTTATTCCCTCATACATTGTATTACATTGGTCATTACAGTGACTAGTGAACAGGAAGGGACACTTCACATTAATTCATGGGAACTCCCCATGATGAGCCCAGGGGTTTGCAAACACTATTATTCAGTACTTTCACACGGTTTTTGATTTCATGCTTGATTCAGAAGTTGTAAATTTTTGCTAAACTGTCAATCAATTCATTTTGTTAAGGAGTTTTAACAGCAGGACAGAGAAATTGGGACTGCAACTCCCCTTTAAAGTCACAGAGCCAAACAGTTTCTCAAAAACAAAACTAGATCCACGCTGCAACACCACTGTGGAAGCACAAACCCATTTAAGTGCAGGCCAGGTCTGTTTCGACCTCTGGATATGTCGATTCAGTGGGATTCCCACAAAGTGAGCACTTTAGTAGGACCACTCCTTAGGACCTCATTCAAACAATTGCTATTATAAGGGTGCCAGTAAAACACATGAAATATCTCCCTATTTTAAACCTTTACCCTATTTATATTTTCATTGCTGTGGCCTAAGAAAAGGGTACCCAAATAGAGCTGCAGAAACCAGTGTGCTCCCACACCTGCATGTTTGCATACTGTGGACCCTAACCAGGGCCAAGTGCCAATGCCTATGACTCTGACAAAAGGAAATACAGAAACACAGAGCGATTCTCACCATGCCCCTGCATCATGGCTGTGCTTCCGGGAGGAGGGCTCTGGTTGGGCTGCCTGAAAAGGTGGTTGCTGGGGTGTGTAGGAGGGGGGCTGGAGGGCTGGATCCGCAACCTGAAGCGTAATAATAATAATAAACTATTTTATATAGCACCTTTATAGGTGGCTTCTCAAAGCGCTTTACAGAATGACAACAACAACAACAACAACAACAACAACAATTAAAAATAACCAATAAAAAATACAGAAGGTAAACACAATGAGAATATGCAGAGGAGATGGTGGTAATAAATACAGTGGAGCAGAGGGGTAAAGAATGGAACCAGTTAAGTAAAGGCTCTTTTAAAGAAAGCTTTTGAGTCTAGTTTACAGAAGGTGAGTCTCTGATATCCTTAAGGAGAGAGTTCCAGAGCTAAGGGGCATAACAGGAGAAGGCCCTGTCACCCATAGAGTGTAGACGGGCTTGGGGGACAGTTAGGAGAGCAGAATTAGAGAGCGAAGGTTGCGAGATGGGGAGTAGGGCGATAATAGATCAGACAGGATCCAAGCAGAGCCTTACAGGTGAGCATAAGGATTTTGAAGTCGTCACGAAACTTGACAGGAAGCCAGTGCAAGGACTCCAGGATAAGAGTAATGTGATCACTTGCACTAGACCTGGTCAGGATTCTGGCTGCCGAATTTTTAACATACAGGAATTTGTTCAATGTGGATTTAGATACCTCAGCGAGTAGCGCATTACAGTAGTAAATTCGGGAGAAGACAAAAGTGTTTCAGCCACAGTAAGTGATAACATAGGGTGTAGTCTAGCGACATATCTGAGGTGAAAAAAAAAATGTTTTGACAATATGCTGCACATGTGGGTCGAATGTTAAGCCAGAATCAAATATCACCCCAAGGTTTTTCAATTTAGACTGAAGCTCAAGTACAGTATTATCCACAGACAGGGTTACAGGATTAGCTTTGCAAAGTTGATGGTCC